TATTTTTATTATATATATATCCAATTCTTAAGGATTTATTATATCCTATCATGATATCCTTTAGCGCATTATATATACATCTACTGAAGAGTTGCATTTCCTTCTTTTCGGTTTTGAGGGACGTATATTTTCTCTTCTCTTTGGTGCGGCTTTTTGTTCATTGTTGTTTCAATTCCAAATTGACCGGCGAGGGAAGGACGAGGCGCGGTGAGTTAAGTACCTGGGGGAGTTCAACATGTTTTTTTTAAAAATATGCCCGGCTCTCTCCGCGTTCTCTTTCTCTTTTAGCTTCCTTCCGCGTAAAGGCGAAGGAAACGAAATAAAAACTTCAAAAAAAAAAAAAAAAAAAAAAAAAAAAAAAAAAAAAAAAACCATAACTTCATTGAGGCCACTGCGTGAAGCAGGACAAAGTACGGAGGAGGAATTGATAATTATACCACTGCTGCTAAAAAATTTAATTAAACTTAGTGAATCAAACCGGCAAAACAATTCTTGTACGGTAGTACATGGCCGACGGGGTTGAGTTTTTCATATCAAGCTGGGGTGATTATAGTTTTATCCGAAGATATTTCTTTCCTGCAATCAGGCTGTGCCTATATACGCCAAGCTACAAACCTTCGGAGGTTTATATGGTAGGTATATAGTGCTGCCCGCGAGCACAAAGTGGAAGGGGGATCCGGTGAAAAAAATCTCGCCAACAACACTACGCTACGACAACAAGGTTGGTGGATTAGCTCTGGGAGTTGTCGCTTTGCGATGTATATATATATATATATATATAATATATATGCATTGGTGATTTTACGTTACAACGAATCAACCTGGTAGGGCCAATTTTTCCCGGTGCTATTGACGATATGCTGTATCGCCGACCCGATGACCCGTTTATTTCTCTCCTAGATAAAATGCTACGGATGGACGCTTTGACTAGACCTTCACCAGAAGATTGCTTTCGATAAACACTCAAGATGTGCCTAGGTAGTAGTTCTAGTGACGTCGGAAGAGGACGCAGAAAACGGCCTACCTGGGAGCAAAATTATATTTAGCCTACCCGCCAAGAAGAGCAAAAGCTTCATTTAAATCCATGCTTTGATCAAATTTCTGCCAGTAAAACAACTAGTAAGAACGGAAAGCATTTTCCCTCATTTCTCGCTAGTACGTAAATCATGGGCATGTTGCTAATTTGGAGTAGGAAAACTATGGGTATTTCCGCCGTATTCCGCTATTATTTTCTCGGAAGCAATTTGCGCCACGAGGTATGCTGTAGGCTGAGTATGGTTACTGTTGGTGAAGCCTATCAGAAGTGGTTTATGAATGGAAAGGCGCGAAAAACAAAATGGGGGGGGGGGGGGGAGATTAAAAAAGGCATATCGAGTATCCCAATTCACTTTGGCGCCAGTGGACAAACACTCAAATCCACTATTCGCAGTTTATCAATGCCATAAACCCGGAAGTTGGGATCTGTACAGGCAGTCGGGTCGTCCACCTTGCCCATTTTTGCGCCTCCAACTCCACGGTAGGCAGGAATTAGGTTTTCGTCGATGAATTCCTATATATTTTAAGTTTATAAATTAGACATCGGTCTCCCATATTAACTGCTCCTCATCAGTGTAGAAAGATAGGGGAGATCAGCATGGTGGCTGGGGGAAGAATTGAACGCAAAACAAAGATGAACATACGCCAATATCTTCATCTGATTGGCTTTTCGGAGCGAAAACAAACTCCTTAAAGCCCAGTCCATGTACGTCAGACTGGAAAAACTTCATGGTTTCTCTTATTGCCAGGGTCAGCATCTTTCTATCATAAGGATGTGACATGAAATTAAGGTCAATGGCAGGATCATCAGCTGCGTTCGCTGATTTCAGTGTAACTTCGCCCTTAGACTGCATATTCGTAAGACAAACTACACTAGAGAGGTATGACACCCCTTCTGGTATAATGTATGTAGGCGGGTAATGTGGGCCTGCGAAGAAAATTTCATAATGTGGTACAGAATCCTTGATCAGATGCTCCTTTGCAAGTGCATCTAAGTTTTGATATTCGTTGGTTGTAAGAATGGAATTTTCCTTGAGCCATCCAGTAACTATGCAAGAAAAATGCAGGTTTGTCTGTCCAGTTCCATCCTGTTTCCATTGCTCTCGTGCGGCTTTAATGGCAGCAGGATCAGAATAAAACTTAGCTTGATCATCAAGTCCTACCCCAGGAGGGTATAATGCACCTAACACAACTAAGGGGTAGTCAGATAGGCCTTTGCCTACACCAGGAAGCTCGTGGATAGTCTGAATATTGTGCTGGGCGAGCTCTTGACTGGGTCCAATACCAGATAATAGTAGAATCTTCGGGGTGTCCAAGCAACCAGCTGATAGTATTACCTCCTGATTCGCGGTGACTATTGGTGCATATTAGTTTTGTGTCAAGAAGACGAAAATGAGGTAAAAAAGCGGGAGTCCACGGACATTTCTGGCCATTCACTGTTTGAACACCAACCGTAACCTTGTTTTCAAAGATCACTTTGGCAACTTGTATGTCAGTCATCATCTTCAAATTTGCTGGACGATGGTTGGTATATATGGATTCGCTGGTACAGCGATAGCCTTTAAATGTTGTAGTAGATGGAACAGACACCCCGATAGGGTTCCCAGAGTTGGGGTCCATGTTTAATGTCATCTAGAGTAAGTCTTTAGATATGCATCCACCTCCAAACTGGAGTTATGGCAGGGAAAATCTCACGCCGTATCTTGCGGTTGCATCCAAAAGTCCCGTCACTCCATTTTCCCACCGGGAAGGCAAGCTCACATGCAGCGGTCTGAGCTTATTAGATCCTGGTTGAAAGCAAGGGCTCATAATATATCTTTTTACGCACCCGTTATATCCATGGTTCTCTGGCAAAGGGTTGGCATATTTCTTCATGTCCTCGGACAGGTCGGCATGGTAAGTCTCTATCTATTCCCACAGTGAGCCATATTATATATTTATTTTATTTATTTATTTATTTATTTTTTTTTTTTTGCATAAACCGAAGTAAAACAGTTTGCCTACCTCCTTGAATCTCCTGAGAGAATGTTCCCATTTCCAAGATTCATCGCCAACGAGCTTAGCCCAGTAGTTATAATCCTCTGCAGAGCCACGCGTATAAGTTAAGAAGTTAATATTGGAACATCCACCCGGGCCCTTGCCACGAAGAAATCCGTACGTTTGGCCTTTGAGGAAAGTTAAGGGAGCCGTCGTATACCCGTAGTCTAGATCAGGCCGCTGCCAGGCATGGTACCTGTCATAAGGGCAAAGATGTGTGGTATCCGGAAATGCACTGCCAGCTTCCAGTATCACAACTGAGCTTTCTGGCAATGCAGTTGCCAGTCGAGTGGCAAACAAAATACCTGCGGTACCTCCTACTAAATATTAGAACTATGATTTTGTAAATCGCATTTGATGATGAGAGTGGGTAGTATAGTGTACCTCCCACAATTATGAAATCGTAGCTGTCCGTCATGATGTCGTAATCTCCCCTTTTAAAATCCTTTTGTAAAATCTTCGCGGCGGACAAAAGGTAGAACGGATTTGGAGGGGTTAGCCTCCGCTCTATATACTAGGCAAGAGAAGTATGGTCAACCTGCCGAGTAGTTTAAATGCTGGAAGGATGGAATCAAGCAAAAGTGACATTTGTGCCGGATTCTCGCAGCAATCACAAGACTTAAAAAGGGTATATTTCAGCCCTCAGCCTTTGTTCCAAATCTTGACAATTAAGAGAGTTTGCTATTGGTTAGACAAGTCAATGGACTGCGAAGAAATGTCCGTGGTGATACATTCGACATCACATCGAAATACTGGAATAACATCATCGACAAGGATAAAAAGCGTCTCGGGGTCACAGTGGAAAGGACTTTGTCATCCTTAGTAAGTTAGCCCGCATCACCGCAGCCCTGGACTTCCAGATTTATCTGCAGATGTTCACAGCTGCTTCATTGGTCTCAGTTCATACTCCGTGCTACCGTGGGAATTGCGATGCTGGCGAAGGAAATTAGGTACGAGTTTATATCAAGCTGCGGCTTTGACAGCAGTGATTTTTATCCTAGTTTGGCTATATTATTATATATAATGCCAGAAAGACACGAAGCTTAATTAATTTTAACAGCAGTGTAATTGTCAATCCTTGGACAAAGTGATAAAAAAATTATAAACCTTCGATCTTGAAATCCAAATCGGGATAGATACTCCGTAGTATTTTGTGAAAAGATTATGACATAATTAGTTCCGCACTCCCCCCCGGACCTGGGGTGTTCTCCCATGTTTTTAAATAATAAAAAAAGGGGTATGGAGTACGGAGTACTGTATTGGAATCGCAAGGTAAGTGATGGAGTGATTTATTTTTTCTACGCTGCTCTCCGTAGCCTTGTTTTAAGCAAATCCCCGATTCGCTTCTTTTAGTCTGTGATTTAGTGTCCCCCCAGTGAAACATAGCTCGTCGATCTCGTTTATCAACCCAACCCCCTCCTGAGCCAGCGATGGAGGTATATACAGTACGGAGTAGTGTTGTAACACTGGGGACTCTGCGGAGTAAGTAGCCTAGAGGCAGTTCGGCATATATTTATATTTTTTATTTATTTATTTATTTTTTTTTTCAACGGCCAGACCTTTCCTTCTGGGAAGCCCCAGTATCATTTTGCGTAGGTTTGCGGAATTTTCCGGACGGGATATAGTTGCCATCGGTATTAATTTTAACTTAAGTATGTACTACAGTAACATAGGTAGGTACCTTAGTTAGGCTCCCCACTCCTCATGTCAATAATGCACGTATGGAACATCGTACTCCGCAACAGGAAAATCATGGAAAATCAGATGGGATGTCGACATTTGTTGTTAGCGGAAATCTAACAGGAGTCAGCAGCCACCGCCAGTGTACGGACAAATGCAAACTTTATTTAAGCACCAATTCTACAAGTACAGTAGTTAACTAATGGAGATGGAGAAAAAAAGTAAGCTCGGTGGAAGATATATATATTAGGTCCCGCCCGGACTCGAACCGGGGTTAGTGGAAATTGAGATCTCATCAAAATCCACCGTGATAACCACTACACTACGGGACCATCATTGGTCCGTCTGAGAAAATCTAATGCACTAACAATAAAAACTGGCCAAAAAAGAGAGCTTGTTCAAAACTTGTATAGTATAGATTCAGAGCTACTTTTTTGAAATTAGCAGCGAGGTTCAATAAGTTAATGGGATTTTTGCTTGATATACGGAGTATGGAGTATATAGTTGAATGCAATAGTTACCATAACCGAGTTCCATGGCATGTACTGAGATGGTGAGTTAGACAGCAGTAAATATTGTCGAATGCGCACAGGAATTGAACAGGCTGTCGATATTGTTTTGCTATCTGATCTAGTCAACAGGGTGTTGGTCTGAAAAGGTTTTGAGAGCAGATTATCACTCCCCAGCGCATACGAGATTGAATCTGTAGCGGCTGCACCCTCGTTTGATGAAAATTTACGGAGTAAGGGTACTCCGTAGATTCATCACCAAAGGGTTTAATATTCACACACAAGCCACACGACTTTCCCCCGATACTTGCATCCCTGAGGATTACGAGCAGTTGTGGCTCCTATCATTTTGTTGTATATCAGCACGAGCCCAGCCATGGCTGCAGAATGCAATATGAGTGTTGGCTGGCTTGACTGAGATCCCGCAGCTGTCATCGTATCATCTTTGAGAACATCCAGGGCTTTGCCGCGTTTCCCACCGCGCAAGCACCATGCAAGGGATAGAAGCAATATCTGCAGGGTTCGGAACACCAAGATCAGGGGTGGCCAAATATTCCGTACATGACAGAGGGAACGCGAGATTTAGCACAAGTATGTAATATTAGGGTGCTGGTGAAGCCAGTAGAAGACGAGGCGTTTATCTCTTCAAGAATGAATCAGCTAGCGACGTCCGCATCATTACTACATAGGGAGTAGCTCTGGGAAGATATCAACAGAAATCTGACGGCGAATGAATAACGATCCCGTGTTAACTACGGAGTACGGAGTACGGAGAATGGAGTACTCCGTATTCCATAAGGAATGTAGTATGCAATTCACCGCGAGGAGGCCGCCAATTAAGTGATTACAGGTTGTGCTGATCAACATGGCCTGTTCGTTATTATTTGCCTGGCCTTCGTAAGCCCTGGTAAGCCACTTGTTTCGATTCTGATAAGAATGTCTTCTGTTCTAACTTTAACCCGTCCACAAATTTTTTATCATTGAAAGTTTATGCTTCAAGTTTCAACCGCCATTGGCTTGGCTGGGGCGGCTCAGGGGAAGAAACCTTTGCTAGGTACCTGCCAGTAATTGAACGCTTACCCCGATAAGGCTTAGTACAACATCACGGCCGCACTAATCCCGATATGTCTAGATCATTCCTAGGCACCGAGGTCAGCCTCCGATCTTGAGGTCAATACGAGCTGACAAGAAAGGTGGGCCTGCGAGGAGGAAAAGGAATAAAAGTTCCACACATCAATCTGTGACGTTTTGACTACGGAGTATGGAGTGCAGTGAAAATGGCATCATACTGCAGGCACAGCTCACCCCTCACGGCTCCGCGACCCCTTTTTCCTCTTTCGATCTTCCACAGGCTGGTGGCTTTTTTAACCTCGCACACCAAAGTCTGCAACGCGCTAAAGGGAAGCTATTTCTTTCTAGCTGGCCTGGAGCCTATGGAAACCATCTCCGAATAAATTCGCCGGCTGCAGAAGAACGATCGGTGGGCGACGGGATGATCAACTGAAGTGTGTCAGTTGGCTGTTCCTTTTGCTCAAAATATTTTCCCATCTGTTTCCGTAGACGAAACAGAACTATTCCTTGCTCCTTCGTTCACTCGTTGAACAAGTACTCCGTATTGGAGTGGTTGTCCGCCTTGCTCCCAAAAGATCACCCTTTTTGTGGGGATTGATCGTCGGGGCTTGTCATATTGGTACTGTACCACGCTCGTCACCGGAAAAAAAGAAACTAAGCGATTCCTCTCTGTGAGCCTGCGCTATTAGCCTGGGCCAATTCTACTCGGCAATTGTTCTTTTCTCTCCTTCTGTTCTTCTTCCTTGGCTTCCAGTGATGAGTAAACAAACCACTTCCTTTTTGATATTTGCGGCGGGCTTTCACTATCAGCGTTTTTATCTCCTCCGTTTCGGTGGTTTGAAGATAGCGCAATGAACGCAGTTACAAGTAGACCATCTGCCTCCACAGGAATGGCCTACAATGGCGATCAATATCGAGGGGTGGCCCCCAACCGTCAGGGCTCGCCCGTTTATCCTATGTCCGTGCAACCCAGAAACCCCTCTTCCAGGGCATCCTCGATCCAATATGCCCGAGATAACAACTATCCCAATGCAACCACTCCAGAAATATACTCTCCTACCGCCGTTGCCTCTTCAGGCAGTTTCATTTTCCGCTCGTTCAAGCCTGCGAAATCACCCTCCAAGGAACCATTACCCTTTTTGAAGCCGTTGCCACAGGAGGTTTACGACTGTATTTTATCACATCTACAATATTCACACCTAGCTCCCAATTGCGAGGGATGTTTAACATGTTACATGAGAGATTTATATTCTTTAGCTTTGACTAGCAGAGCGTGGGAAAAGGCTGTGAGGGCTAAACTGTATGCGAGTCTAGAACTTAATGGATCGATCAATTACTAAATATCTTTAGATATAACAAAATATATATCCAAGGAAACGATTCGCCAGCCCAACTCAAGAAATACAAATGGAAAAGAGGAAGTAGATTAAGGTTGCTGCGACGATCGCTTCGAGAAAGAAAATTGCTGGCCAATGCAGTGTTTGAGCTTAGGGTGCCGGATCTGGAAGTGGCAACGGGAGGAAATGGAAAACAAAGCATTACAGCGCAAGAATATCGCGATCTTGTTGCATCAGTCGTGATGGTATGCCCGAACTTGGAACGCCTGGTTGGTCTTTCGTTACCATATAGCCACGAATTTGATCGCTTAACGCACGCTCTTTCAACACGGAAGAAGCTCAAAGAGCACGCCTGGATCATTGCAGAGAACTCTGAAATCAACAAAAGGACAAAACAGCAAACTTCCGAGCTGTTGGATAGTATCCAAGTTTTCCAGTTCCTTAACTACCACACTTCATGGTCCAACCTCGAGACTCTCATGATACATTCTTTGGATTCTGGTGGAGTAATGGAGCATGGAGTATTCCTACGGATGTTCAACTTCCTGCCGTGCCTACGTCACTTGACCATTTGCGGTTTCCATCCGGATGATTTTACGGATCGTACATTATTATTTTTCCCTCAGTTAACATCCCTCCGCCTTGAGAATCTCCCAGGATTGACAGAAAACGGACTCGCGCATTATTCAACACGCCCGGAGGCTCGCTCCCTCAAATCCTTGACCCTAATAGAATTGAATATTAGCTCTCTCCTGATAATTTCGAAGATTCTTGCATCCTTGAGGAAACTGGAACGCTTCAAAATTGTTCAAACCAAGACTGCACTGACGCTCTCTGATGACGGGATGGTATTCCAACCGTTACTCGCGTCTTCAGTCCTGAAGCATCTCCATTGGGACGTGGCATGTCCAGATACTAATGGTTCTCTAAACGATTTTCAATCTTTCCCACCACTGTCATCACTCAGCAAGTCCAACACAGCAAATTCTCATCTCGCCCAGAGTATCTTAAATTCGGGGTTTCCATACCTAGAGTCTCTCCGTGCACCCCATGACATGGAACCCCTTGGGGCGTTGCAGGCCGTTTGTCGGCCTACGAGAAACGGTCAGATCATGGTACCTGCAGACCGTTATTCCCTCCCTCGAAGTTCTCATGGTTCAATTCCGAAGCGACCTTTAGCGCTTCCAGGCGGAAACAATTTGACTTCAGCGCGCATACGTGGCCAAACGCTCATTGATAAGGCTTCGAAAAGCAACGAAACGGGCATCAAGTTCGTTGTTAGTGACCATTCAGGCTCGATCAAATTGCCAAACCCACTCGCGCTCTCTGAACCTACTCACGGATCGGTGTTGGATGATAAATACGACATCTTAGGTCCGTTGAGAAAGAAAGGTTTTGTTCCTTCTCTTGAAAGAGAGTCACATGGCATCACCGTACATGAATTCACGCTTCCATTATGCATGGGTAGAGTCTGCGCATCATCCAGTACAACGGTGGGCGCACCGCCTCCCCGCTTTGTCCTAACGCCCGATATACCCGGCTCAGACGCCGACGGCGGCCTAATAAGCTGGCGTCATTTCCTATTTTCAAATCAAACGCTAGCATACTCAGCGGCAACAGGACTATCCACAGCAGCATCATCGCCGTCGCTCACCGACAGACTAAACACCGGCTCGAGCATGAACGATGAAACGACAACCCTCGCTTCTTCCCCTTCCCCATCTCTATTTGGCTCCTGGGGCAGCGGCGGTAGTACTGGATACAGTAATTCTAATCAAAAACCAAGCCAACCATTGTCTCCGCGCACACCAGCACCGCTCTCTCCGACGATACAGATGGGTAACTCCCAAGCTGCCACCGGTACTGGCGCCTGGACAGGACAACCGCTCTGGAGCGCTAGAGAACCCTGTGACGGGTCCTGGAATCGGGGACATAAATCGGGGAAGGACTGGTGGTCTCATGTCGAACGGGACAGACCATTAAGCAACAGTATCTCGGCAGATATAGTGAGACTGGAACAACTATTCTGAACAGATGATTATGTTAATATTTACTTCTTTATTCATTTCCGGATTTTTTAAATATTTTTTTTAGCAGCAGCATTTTAGATGGAGGACATATTTGCCATGTCCCAAATACACTGCTTTTTTGCCCTACTTTTAGGTTTAATTTGGCATTCTTTTTGGGGGAGCGCATCTTTAACAACAATGTAACCATAGTCGTTCCTCACCTTAGTGAAAATCTTGTTTATTCGCATTTCCGGTTGTCTCGACAGACGCAAGATACCCTTATTTCATTTTTTCCCACCGTTTTCATGTACTCTCCTCTATTTCTGCTTTCCCCTTACAAAATAAAGCTGGACTTGCGTGTTCTTTGCCTCTGTCATTATTTGATATGATGATCTGGTGTTCATTT